ACTAATGAGTAAGGGGCCGTTAATGCTGTATTAACTAATGAGTAAGGGGCCGTTAATGCTGTATTGACTAATGAGTAAGGGGCCGTTAATGCTGTATTAACTAATGAGTAAGGGCCGTTAATGCTGTATTAATTAATGAGTAAGGGGCCGTTAATGCTGTATTAACTAATGCTGTATTAGCTAATGAGTAAGAGGCCGTTAATGCTGTATTATTAACTAGTGAGTAAGAGGCCGTTAATGCTGTATTAACTAATGAGTAATGGGCAGTTAATGCTGTACTAATTAATGGACTTTTGGATACCGATTGACAAAGTCCTTCTTAATGACATTTTTTCATTCAAAATCTGGTAATTTATTTCCATTTACTTACCTTGACTTCTATGTATTTCGCATTTATTCGTATTCACTATTTGCTAATCTGTTAATTGAACTTCACGTGTCGCACAAAACCCATCAAGTTTGTAGCAATTCATTAAATGTAGCAATTCATTAAAACTTATTTTTAAACTTAACAGTTTAAGTACCGAAATATTAACACATTTTCCAGTATTTCCAATTTAAAACACAATGAAACGCGTCTAATGATTGATTCTCAAAAGAAGTCACTATAGGATTGATGATTTTTAACTTATATACATGAAGAAATATGTCCAACTGTCATGAAAATTTATTAGTTTACATTTAAATGCATAATCATACATTGAGTCACGTCAGTTTAACAGATAATGAAATCATTAAAATCAGTTGTAATTCGATTGAGAGTTTCGTCAAGTTCAACACACAATCATATCGTCTTCAACATAATCTAGCACAAGTTTTGAATTTGAAATGTTAATTTTAAAAGCACCGTGAGCTTTCGATGAGTTATTTAGGGAGGAGTTGGCCGTAGGTTGGCCGTACGTAACGCGACCGTGACAGGTGTGAGCTATAACAAGTGTGTTTGATTTTAAATTAATAATTTATAAGAGGCTTATTAAAAGGTGATAATAAATAAAAATTGAGCCTGTTTACACGCTAATATCTGAGTGTGATGTTTGCAGCCTTAATGCGTGTTACTCAATAAATTACCGCTACCTTATTAATTTAAATATATTATCAAATTCTGTAGTCTATGTGAGGTCGCTGAGTACATTTATCTCTTTTTTAGTGATAATCTTCGACATCAAAATTAATTAAAATATATTCGAAATTTGACTCTTGATTCCTGAATTTATTTAAATGTTAAATGTGCAACGTATTTAAATGTTATGAAATTACCAAAAATTTTGAGGCAATCGACATCAAAATTAATTAAAATATATTCTAACTTTAGATTCCTGAATTTATTTAAATGTTAAGAAATTACCAAAAATTTTGAAGCAGGTTTCAATAAATGCGACATCAATCTAATCTAAACTGGCATTAAAGTATTAACTAGCACCGTGTGATATGAAATGTACCGTGTGCAAGTATACGTTGTAACGATAAACCTATATCTCATTTTCCTTGAGTGAACAATTTTAAAATTTGTTATTGATTAGTTTGCTTTGAAATATCTTTTCAATTAATTATTTGTAATATTTTCGTATATTCTTAAGCACTGATTACATAACCGCGCAACTGTGGTGCCAACATATGAATAAATACAACGTCCAGGAAAAATACTAGAGTTTCTTAAATAAAAATACAATAATATTGATAATACCGTGATATTATATTTTGGTCCTAAAAGGACCATTTTTATGAACGTTTGCTCTGTACAAAGCGTGGGCCGGTCCGTCAACCCATAACTCGCAGGAGAAAACAAACAATAGGCGACATTATATTTTATTCAGAACAGATTTACGTTTAGATTTTATTTTGTACAGATACAAAATATTGAAAATTTTCCGTAAAAGGCATTACGTTCATATTGGCACTACCTCATTATAGTCCATTTTTAAATCGTACTAATAAAATTAAGTACGTTTGACTGCAGATATCATAAAATATTTCAAGGGAGAAAGCATAGAAATGAAAAACTGAATTGAAAAGGAAAGCTCTAAAGTATCGCTGGTAATGACAATAAAGTATTTAAAGTATCGCTGGTAATGACAATAAAGTATTTAAAGTATCGCTGGTAACTTTGTTGAGTTTCAAGGCCAACTTCCTTTTACGCACTAGCCAACTTATAAGGATTTAAAAGCAAATTTTAAAAAGTGGAAAAGTTAAAACAGGTAACCTGTTGTTTCAGGTAAGCTATGCGCTAGCAGGTAACCGTTGTAGTGAAAATTACCAAATCATTACAGGTATCTATCGTTACCGGCAAGTGCCAGCCCGAGATTAAACCATTATAAATAAATTAACAATTGTTTTATGAGGCAAAACAATTAAGTGAGAGTATCTCATAATTTCAATTTATTGTCCGGGCCCGTTAAGTTGATGGCCAGCAGACGGTCTCCAGACGTCGGTAGAGACGGGTTCTACAACGGGCGCGGCTACGGGCCAGGCCCTATACTTTCAAAAAAAGTTAAGAGATCGTAAGTTCATCAGCCAATCATTGACGGCCACGCAAGCAAAATCCACCAATCATAGACAAGAAAATAGAGCGTAAGTACTTACGTTCACTTAGCGAGTTTTGAAAGTATGGCCCCTGGAGTTCAACGGAGTGCCGTTGTAAAGAGTGACTTTCACGTCAGAATTGTTCCAGTTCGTCACTTCCAGCTCGTAGATCTGAAATGATCAGGGATATCTTCAGTCTCCATTATGATACATTTTATCATAACTTAATGATAATATTTCTATTATCATATTATTATTCACTATTGAAATATTAAATTAAATATCTTAAAACGAAAAATGTATTATTGAATTAATCTGGAAAAGTTTCATAAATGCTACCCTCCAATTCCGTAGACTTTCAGCAGAATTTCCCTCATGTTATTGGTTAGTTTATGAAATATATATCATATTTATTTTTAAATTTATCAGCCTTTCATATCATTTCAGATATTCATATATAAACAGATATGTGACAAAAAACAAATGAATCACTTAATTACGCCATTTATAGTTTCTGATTTACCTCGCAAACGTCGCAGCGGAATAAATGTTTTAACATCGACAATCACATCGATTACTACCAAATAACATTATCAATAAATTACTGTTATGTTACCAACATATTGGAGACACTCGCACCGCATTGCTGCTATTAAACTACCAACTACATTTTCTACCAATAAACTGCACCACTCACAACTCCATGGAGACGAATGCAACACAACGTGCTCAAGCAACTACATTCTCTCCCAGCAACCTGCACCACTCACAACTCCATGGAGACTGATGCCATACAACGTGCTCAAGCAACTACATTTTCTCCCAATAAACTGCATCACTCACAACTCCATGGAGACGGCATCATTTTATTCTCTTGTTAGCTCCACTAAATGTGTTGTTGATGATACTCCAGGAAGTGGTTGTTGATGGTAAATCTGCTCTACCACTTTATTCACTGTAAACCAACTTTGAACTTCACATTGGTTGTGTCGTTTTCGCTTACGGTCACATTTTTGCGACGATGTTCATGTTTTAATTTGAATCTGTCACATTTTCCTTTTAACTAACGCGAAAGTTTAGATATTCCATCATGTAACAATTTTTTATAAAATACGCGATTTTGAAATTCAATTCTGTCATGAGAGCTGAATCGCACATTTATGATAACCATGCAAGCTTCGACATGGATTCAGAAGTTCGGAAACGTTTTTGTTTTGATTCTCTGCTGGAAGGTGCAATAGCTGAAAAAACATAAATTACATAAATACATAAATTATCATTTATTCCTGAATCATAAAATCACATGTGAAATTAGGCATGAGTGAATTGGCAAATATTCAGATATATATTAGATCGTTTTACTCGTGCAGATTCAGGGTAAGTTATTTCATTTCAAAATTCTAACCGCTAGTCGAAACTAATGGCTGAACATTATTTTAATTGACGTTTTTGAACGTGGTTTAAAGTGTCATTAATTTTTTTTAATTAATGATATTTTATCTCCTCAGGACAGATTTGCGGAATGCGCTTCCTCTTTTTAGCGCATTTTCTCATTTATAAAAAAAATGCACTATTGTGCTCGCCATGTCCGTCCATCTGTCTGTCTGTCCGTCCGTGACTTCACGTTTTTGTCGACGAGAAAATGTACTCTCTGTCACTCACTGCACTGAGTACTGAGTTATATTTTTTTATTAATGAAACTATTCCGAACGTCGACAGTAATGTGCCACCAGTAACTGGAGTTGTCGCTGGCAATTAAACTCATGAAATTTTCTGATATATATTTATTTAAACCTTGTTCCCTCATTAAACAATACACACTCACTGATGGAAATTTTATTCGTACAAAATTTGCAGCGAAATATCAGACTCCTCTGTAAATATCAAATTATATGACAAATTTTTTCAGATGATATTGTTCTAGCATTTAGATAAATATTTCAGCCCTACAAAATATATAGAACTACGATAGAATCAAAACGTTCTCGCACTTGAATTTTTTTTATTTATCTATCTTATTAATTTAAGCCTCAAAATATTCCACGTACAGTTTTCCAAATTTTCTCTTAAATGCTCGTAATAGCGTAATATGATTTAATGAAATATGTAAACGTGTTTAGATTTGCATTCATTTTACGCTAAGTTCATCTCTTTCATTTACTGTCTTTAACATCAATCATAAAAATTGTTAACACCCGAAATATTGAGCATGAATAATGTAGCAATCCCATATAATGCAATTTAATCCCGAAATATAGCTAAGTGATAAACATAGAGACGGAAATTCAATGCCATTCAAACACTTTTTTTAACCTCATGACTATGAATCGCTAAATGTTAGCAGTTGCCGACAAATTTGTCTAAAAACCAACCAATCGCTGAATAATAAGTTTCAGGATATCAGTAAATTTCCTTTAGTTGGTCTTAGTCTCAAGATAGTAAAAAACTCAGCTAAATCTAATTCAATATTGTTTTTCATTCAGCCTGGTTCCGGCAAAGTCTTTTTCCTCCAGTAGCCTCACTTATTAGGGTACAGCAGCACGGAGGCAATCGAAAAACCGATTGAACTGTAACATTAAACATAAGCGATCAGTTTTAGACATTCACATGCATTCAGTGAATTTCAAAAAAGCTGTCACCGGTGATACATGGTAGATGTTATATATCAATGTTAGAAAAAACGGTGAAAAAACGGTCCCACTGGCGTTCTAGTGGCCGGTCGCCCCGTGAAAATAAACTGTTTTACCGTTTTTATCAGATGTTTTACGGATTTCTAGTGTTAAATTAGAGTAAAAACGGCGAAACGGTGTTTTTTTCACGTGCCGACCGGCCACTGAAACGCCGGTATAATACCGTTAACGGTAATTTTTCTAACAGTATATCAACTATGAAAGTTTTGAGATGCGTTGTTTACAAATGCAAATTATGTTCAAATATTACGAATGTTTGCCATTTTTGTTGATAAATCTAATAAGATTTATGAAATCGCCATTTATTATTGATTTCTAAACAGAATAAACATAAGTACTTACGTTCAAATATTTCATAGTAGAGTTCTTGCATTTTGGGTATGCTGCAGCGAACTTGCTATCAGAGTTGCATTTTTTCTTCAGGGCAATTGTTTTGAAAGCCACGTCATCCAGAGTATTGTCGGCCTTCAGCTGTTGATGATAAGAGTTAAAAATGAATAAATTTGGGATGTTAATGTTAAAAGATGTTAAAAAAGATGTTAATAAAATAATATAATAATAAATAATAAATAATAAAAGATGTTAATAAAAAGATGTTAATGATTGGAAGGGAATTGAGATGCGAAACAGAGGTTTACGTCGATAAATATGAGAGTAACTTGGAAATACGGAATCCAAATACGAGAGATGTAGCAACCTAGAAATGATAATATTATCATAGTGAAGCATTAGATATATGCATACCTAACATTGCTCAGAAAAAACACTCGTTATGTATTAAGAATTTAAGAAACAATAAGGCAAATAATCGTGGCCACATCCAGCGTAATAGAAAAAAATCCTACTCGTTAATCATCATTTCGACTTACTATTATTTAATCTAGCAAAATACAGGGGCCATACTTTCAAAAAAAGTTAAGAGATCGTAAGTTCATCAGCCAATCATTGCCGGCCTCTAAAGCAAAATCCACCAATCACAGACAAGAAAATATAGCGTAAGTACTTACGTTAACTTAGCGAGTTTTGAAAGTATGGCGCCAGGTCTGTGTATACAAATACAAATATGTACTTACCAGTTTGGCAGCTGCCAGCAGGCATTTGGAGGAAGCATATTGTTTTGGATCACAAGTGGCAGCATCGTACGCATCAACGCTTACGCATTTCGCAACTGTTGGGTGAATGATGCGAGCGTTCATTGAAATTCTATGAGATGTACATCTTTATTGGCGTGAGAGATTTTATAGGTTAATGTATAAAGAATAATTGTACAAGTTTAAAGGCATTAAAAACACATAATACAGATTTCGTGACAAGAAGTATTGTAAAGAATGATTTCGGAAGAAGAAACCGGAGCTGGTTTTAATCGAATCAAGTTGGTTCAGAGGCACCGATCTGTGTGATGAGTTACAAAAATTTCGCACTTAATTTTTAGAACAGTGGAAAAGAACAAGATTGACCTGTGCAAGCGTTTAGTAAATAAAAGCTGTCAAGTATCAAAAATCCATTCAATCACACGTTCATTCCACAAGCATACGTCACACTAAATCAAATATTGGTTTTTGAATGAGCATGATCGCCACAAGAGCGTTTGTAATCGCTGGATTTAGTCAGAACATTATCGTTTTCCATGAGAACTTTTTGAGGACACATGATTTTGACTCGTTATTCTTTTGAAATTGCGGTAAGAGAATCGTTCCTATTTATATACACATATGACTCATTGAATTGTAATAGTCACGGGAAAATATAGCAATCAGAGACGAGATAAAGATTGGTTTGAAAATGAAAAATTACTCGTTCGAAGAAACCATAAAAACATTATAGTAAATTGAAATCAATATAATTTAAGAAAAGAATAACTGACTATTAACTTGGCTGAAAATGAAAAATGTCTCGTTCGAAGGCACCATAAAAAACATTATAGTAAATTGAAGTCAATGGAACTTAAGAAAAACTGTCGACTATTAACTTGGCACTTACTTTTAAAAAATGAAAGGCTGTAAGCCTTGTATTCCTGCACACATGCGTTCTGTGCTCCAGCCATCACGAGAGTGTATCCAGAATCCAGGGCTCCGTGACAAGCGGACGAGCTACGGTCAAAATTTCCATATATAACAACTTCTGCGCGTAAAAAATTAATAATTGTTCTGTAAAACTAAGTTTTCAGGTGATAATTGATGAAATAAAAGGTCAGCATACAGAAATTTAAACAGTGCTTGACCTAGAAAAAATTCTGAAACTCAAGATAAGGATCAAGGCTCTAACTACTGCAAAAGATTCACACATGAAAGTTAATAAAAAAAATTTAAACCAAGTTTTGCAAAAAAATTAATAACGACACAGCTCATCAAGGTACAACCACTAATTCATTTGTATACTCACAATAAAAAACTAATATTTTTGTACTTTTTAAGCTTTTTGCGCACGAAATAAGACTCCAAAATTCAGTAAATAATATTTATAGATGATGCCGGGAAAATTCAACGAGAAATCCGTTGCCAGGACAAATTCAACGTAATCAACTCAGCAAGGTATTTTTAGCAGCAGCTTGATCCTTCCAAACAGGAACATGGCAGAAGAATGTGTAATAAATTTCCCGAACTGATCTTTTAACGCTCACAATACTTAGAATCTTAATGAAAACTCAAGTTTTGATGAAGCTGTATCAATACGGTTTCAATATTCCAAATAAACATGAAAAATAACAGTGATTATTGAGGGTAGCAACTGTCATAAATTACATATTTTACCATCAGAGCTCGCCTCACTTACGCTTGAGCCGGCACTGTCGCTGCGGTGACAATAAGAAGAGCGAGACATCGGAACATCTTGACGCAGCGATCAGGGACTGCTGTTCAACGGCTGGGTTTTCGGGCAGTTCAAAGGCTCTAGCTGCTGGGACTGCTGTACAACGGCTGGGTCTGTGGGAAGTTCAAAGGCTTTAGCTGCAGGGACTGCTGTTCAAAGGCTGGGTCTGTGGGAGTTCAAAGGCTCTAGCTGCTGGGGCTGCTGTGGAACGACAGGGTCGCTGGCAGTTCGAAGACACTTAAGGTACTCTACTGCGGAGGTGAAGTATGCTACTCAATTTATAGGCAGTAGATTTGTTGGTCCAGGTGTAGTGAGAACCAAATGTAAATCTTGGCCTCGCATCAACTTTATAAATGACTTTTATTGTCTTCAATCGTGGTACCGGCAGGATATAATACTCAGAAATGAACTATACTCAAGTATTACATGGCGAATAATAATTTTGACTTTTTCAGTAAAGTAAGTATTTCGTGGACATGAAGTAAGTATTTAGTAAGTAATCAATAAAATAAGTATTTCGTGAACATAAATACAACTCTCATACTACAACCGCGCAACTTCTTCATGTTTAAAGTTATCCGCAAAAAAATGTTCGCATAATTTAGAATGAATAGCAAAACTTCCTCCATAAGAAATCCGAATACAAAAATTTAAGAAACATTTTCTTTTTCGTTGCTCACGCCGGACTGCAAGCCCCGGGTAAGAAAAATTTGCACAAGTGTCGACCGCATTTCATTTCGAAGCCCTTCAGGGGCGAATGATTTGTTCAAGTGTTGACTGTATTTCATTAAGAAGCCCTCAATGAGAACGAGTTGCGGGTGTCGATTACATTACATTCATATTAGCTCTTCTGAATTATCATAGACCAAATACGCTCGATCAATAGGTCGAATTGATGGTTCTACTAGTGATGCAAGTTTGAACATTAACACATTGAGGGCAGCACGCCTCACCAGCTCTGCCAGATGACCTAAAAATGGCCAAGTCCGCAGATAAAAAGGCCTGTAATTCAAAATATACTAGTAAATTTGTAAGTTCCGGAGTAAAAAAAAAATTTTCCCGCAAAATTTAATGAGGTATGCCTGCCATCAGAAATTTTTGTTGACGGACGCTTTTGAAAAAACTAAATCGCGGAATTTGTCCTGAATAAAAAGACCCTTCAGCTCACCGGTGGGTCGTGCCCGTGTTAATGAATTCATATCACCAGAATAAACATGCGATAATGGATAGTTTCTTTGCCCGGACATCGTAAAAATGTCATTAATCCTTCGTCGTGGCGTCGTCGTCGAGCTTATATTTATACTTGCATCTACGAGCCCTGAAACTTCACTTCTATTAAATTTCCATCCTGGGAACTTTATATATTTAAATTTATACCTGCATCTTTGAGCCTTAAAACTTCCTTCTATTAAATTTTCATCCTGCGAANCTATTAAATTTCCATCCTGCGAACACGAAATATTTATATTTATACGTGCATTTATATTTATACGTGCAAATTTGAAGCAGACACCCGCATTCAGTTTTACGTTATAATATTTGGGCCCTGATTGGCTGCACATGAAGAGCAAGGTCACTCCAGAGCATCGTCAGGCTGACAGTGAGAAAAGATGTAAATTTTAAATACTTTGGTCCAGCTAAAAATCTACGTCTATTCAGAGTTTAGAACTTGAAATCATTAAATTATATTTTTTAACTTGACCACGAGTTGAGCCAGAATTTCTGTTATTAATAACGTCGAGTGTCATGAAAGACCGAACATAAATTACGATTTTTTAGCGGGACAAAAATTTCTAATCAGTCATAACCGCTCATCATCAAGTCTGCAACGAAGAGCATCGAAATAAAAATTTTTTAGTGAACAAAAGCATAGAATGGAAAAAATCTACTCATACTCTGAGCCTTACAATTTAATAAAATAAATCAATGTCATCTGTGAGTTGCTACATTTACGAACTCCCGTGAATTGCTCAATATTATCAATAAACAAAGAATAAATTCGCTTATGAAAAACGACATTGAATAATAAATTTCTTTCATAGCGCTTCAAACGATTTCAATCAAAACAATAAGAAAAAATAGCGACTACCCCAGTGTAATGTAGCCAACTAGATGAAAAAAATCCTGTTGAAATCAATGCAGCAAATTCAATGAAGTTAAAGGATAATTAAAACCCGATGAACCTCAGAAAATGTACGTCATGTTAGGAGGAGCTTTAATTAAGACCTGACGAAAGCACAACACGTAAAGCCAGTGATGCGGACGGAGACTCCAGCTCCCAGCAACTCATGAATTCAAGACAAGTAAATGTGGGGACCAGGCGCATCGGTAGCTACGTTTAAACTTCTTCTAACTATTATAAGATGGCAGAAATTTCTTGATCATATGCGTACAATTTATGACCAGAGAGTGCATTTCAATTTTCAAGGAGTTGAACAATTCTTAGATGACGTTGGTAGATCAAAAGGCAGATTTAGCAAATAATAATATATTAACGACGTTTCGAATGTAGCAACATTCATTTTCAAGTTAAGAGAAGCATTGAATAGTGAAATTTGGTTGGACTTCCACTAACAAGACTATGAGCTATTCTTTGGATGCCGATATGTTACTGTTACATTGAGATAGTGTAATATGATATGGCTGAAATAATCATTTGTGCGAGCAAGGAAATAAAAATGAATTGAGAATGACATAGGAAGTTAAATTAACCATCGGTAGGATACCGTCGTCAGTTTGTGGTAGCTGCTAGTGTTTCTTCATCTGCAAAGCCCTTAAGAATAAAAGTAATTGGTATCAAATAAGCGTAAAAACTACACAGTCAAACGTAGAGCATTTTTACAAGACATTCGGCACTTATTCGCCGAACACACACAACGAACACGTCTGATATCATTGAGCATGTCAAGTTCAGGGATTACAATTTTCCTCTAGCGAATCGTAACCCAAGTAACCTTTGTACATGATTAGTGTAGGGATCTTATTCGGGATTTCTTAGACTACTATTAGAAGAATAATATTGAAGGAACCAATGTGGTGAATGGAGAATTAGGAGAGCGGGTTGACGGTCCCGTATCAGTCTGCTAATGCTATGCGAACTTGCCTCTGCGTTAAGTGCAAGAATTTATGCTCAGAAACTGCAGAGGTACGCATAATGTTCTTTTGTCTTTATAACCTCTACTGTATCTATTGATACTGTATTTGTGTCATATCTTGTTTCTTTGGGCGTTATTAAATTTATATTGAGGTAACGTGCCGGTAACGACTAGATACCGACACGGCGGCACCTTAAACTTGCCTCGTGTCTAAGCTTACTTGCGGGATAGACACCAAGCGGCAGACATTCGGCATTTGTCAGATCTACGTGCCGCCAGTACTGTCCTCGTATACAAGCAGCTTTACACTGAGTATTTTAACATTCACAATAATGGTTATAATGATAGCATACAGTTGAAATACAGCATAGAGTGCCCATGATTTTGCGTTTGTACCTCCCAGTAGTAAATTGAAACAACATCTTAACGTCTGCCAAAATTCCCATTCGAGTCGAAGGACATGCATAAATCTGAGTGAAATAACAGTATAATACAAATATTTTGCAACAGTAAAATTTTTATCAATAACGCTTTTAGAGAATAGTATAAATTTATTCATATTTCTTAGCAACATACATTTTCCAATTTTCATTTAGACTTTTCTGTTCCGCAAATTAGGTTTTCGACTACTCTCAGGATTTTTGACATTCGCGTCTTAGTTACGCGTTGGTAAGGACTACAGGTGCTGAGGTGCACAACGCAATTGTACAGACATATTTTGCTGAATATATTGTGAATAAATAATCGGTGTTTTATATGAACTGAAACCTTTTCACGACCGTGTCGAGATAAAATGATAGAGAAGTAGTCCCCCAGCATAATGGTGCCGTACCAGTAATTCACGAACTTAGTTAAAGACGATTAAATTCATTGTTCCGTTTTTTTATGAAGCCTCGACTCTTGTGGGAGTTACTTGTTCTCAGCAACTGATTTCTACACTGAACTAATGTAATCAATGCAATAAATAGGGTCAATTTGCCCAATGGGGTCAATGAAGTCATTTGGGTCGTTTGTGTCATTGGGGTCATTGGGGTCATTAGGGTCATTTGGGTCAATGGGGTCAATGAAGTCATTTGGGTCGTTTGTGTCATTGGGGTCATTGGGGTCATTAGGGTCATTTGGGTCAATGGGGTCAATGAAGTCAATGAGGTCGATTTGGCCAATGGGGTCAGTGGGGTCAATAGGGTCATAGGGCCAATGGGTTGAACTATATGTTCGATATGTCGCGGTTTTTTTTTTATTGTCGCCCACCCCAGTTCTGCAGCAACCGTCCGATCGGTGTAAAAATTCGTGTGAATATTGTCATGGGGCGCAGCCGCGCATGCCGGAGGCCAGCTTTGCCAAACTTTACACTTAGTTCATATTCCTTTCCATAGGTAAGAACGCTAAATTGCATAACGGCCTATGAAGTCAAGTCACTCAAGTGCTCAAAGCCATAGCGCCGGATGTCCACAGCGAGGATTCTTAAGCATTGGCTGAAGACCTACGGCGCTATTATCTTTCGGCAGTGTGTCGCTTGTCTGGATTACGGAGTTCAAGCGTAGTCTGCGGCTTCTAGTTCTGAGGCTGAGTAAAGTTAATGCATGGTTAATCTAGACGTTGGCTCCAGGACTTATTTAAGAGTAAAATTTGTTGCCTACGGCTGCGCTCCCGTCATCATCCCGGCCACGTGAGTCTCGTGTGTCGGGATAGGTTGAAACTTTGTTCCATTTGTGGCGCAGAAAATCACTTCCTCCGTGACTGCCCTTACTACAGACGTCCCCATTGTAAAATGTTTGGATATATCGACCAGCGTCGCAACCCGTACGTCCTAGTGGGGTGGCAAAACATTCAGACCTTGTAGCCGTGGATTCGGATGTGAGCGCGAAGAAAAGTTGTTCAGGTGACGACGTGCAAGGGAAGGGCGTGTTACCGGGTTATGACATATTTTTATCTTCCACTGTAAGTAAGTGCATATATGCTGATGTAGCATGTTATGTGAGCAACTGTGACAGTGAGCGCGCCGCAGGAAATTCATGCAACGAAGTGTTAAGGGAAGAATCGGTCGGTAAACGCATGAACGAGCGTGATTTAGTTCAAACTTTTTGTGATTTGTAAGCTAAGTACCATCTATTTATGACCTTGCAAGACCTCGAAAATGAAGTAATTACCGAGTATCAACCCCAGTCTGGATGAGAAAGAAGTGCGCTCGAATGGAGTTTTGATCAAGATGTGGAAGATGAAGCGACTGTGGAACATGCGGTAATTTAGTGTATCGACGCGAGAAGTTCAG